ATATCCGTATAATGCAAGTGTCTGTTCTTGTCTGTAACAAACCTGTTAACTGCGCATTCACAATATTAACAAAAATCATATGAGTGATGCCAGAAGAGGCATTTAAGAATCTAGGAGTGTTGCGGCCTTCCACAAATTGAAACATACTGCCATCGATCTGAAGCTCTTCCCACAGGGCGTTTTCTCTCTCTCTCTTGTAATCCAATTAAACGTAACTCTGGCACAGCGTCAGTCAGTTCTTCTTACAAAGTGTCAAGTCCTTTGCCAATTTAGCACTTTAATTAGGGCACTGACATCGCTGACTGGTTTGTGCAAATACATGGAAGTTGTCTTTTGCAGAAGCTCATACTTTGGCACAGGATTAGGAACGTTGGAAGCTGTCTGACGCGTCTGACTCCGCGACCCGAAAGAAGCGGCCATGGAAGACGAAGAAGAAGGCTGCATCACCTTAAGTATGCGCTGGCTACAGCATCGCTCGGTTTGCTTGCTCATCGCTCGGTTTCCGCATCCTTTTTATGCTCAAGATACTCTTATCCATACTGCGTTGTGTACTCTACAATTCATGAATAACTCTCAGGATTTGGGTCCAGGTTTCGCACCCAGAAATCGGATACTTTCCGCCTCAAGAACAAGGATAGTTTTCTGGATATAAACATTTTCAGTCCTTCAAAACTGTTCCATGTCAGTTTAATTCTTCTGTTGATTTTATATACTCAGTTCTCCGTTGCACAGAAGAACTTTTCCATACAGACGTAGTTTCGTGGTTCCTACGATCTTCTTTTATTTCTTTCAACAGGTCGTGCAGTCACGCAATTGTTAAACATGACCTACGTCTTCTTCAGGTCGATTTTCAATCTTGCTTAGATGACATCGTCATTCAAGAGTTAAATTTTTCGTTCATGTTCTTCTGATGCTCTTGTAAGGATCAGAATGTCATACCGAAAATGGCTTAAGTAATGGCCATTTATACGTAGTCCTTGATTTTTGGTGGCAAGTCTTGAAAACCTCGTCTGGTGTAACTGCGACAATACCGCGTCGCCTATTTCGATTCTGAACTTGCTCCTTCACTTATCGTGAACCTCACACTAGAGGTATCATTCTTGTAAATAAATCATGGCAGTCATACATTGATGGCAGCATCATTCCTCGATTCTCTGGCTCCTTACGGAGTCCATTATAGAATGGATATAGAATGAGTCGAAAACCTTCTCAAAATAAACTACAAGCAAAAAGGAAGTTGATATTCATTGTTTGCCGCATTAGTTGTTTGCCGCGTGCCTAGGGATGATCCATTGGACTAAAACTACTTCTGTATGCTACTTATTGCACAGGCTGTGCAGCGTCCAGGTTTTATTGAAACAATATGATGTGAATGGACATAATCTAGCATTAGATTGAGATAATTTTTGTTTAAGAGAAAAATTTTACCTGTACAACTCAAATAGTTCAAATCGAGGGAAAAAAATAAGTAGCTTTTTATTTCAACTTATTTCCTTCCAATCTTGATAAATGAGTACCACACTGTGAGAAGGAAACAGAAGACTAAGCGTTATTATTGAAACAAACTGCAGTAGGTTTTGCATTTAAAAAGTAAGGCACTTTTGGCTGATGCCATGAAAATAGAAATCATTGCACCATTAACTTCATGAATAGAAGAACGCAATAAACAGTCCCGTCGTAAAAGTTTAAGGCCAACATTTCAACGGCTACAAACCTTTCTTTTCCCTTAATTGAAAGTCGAGTTCCAAAATCGCCAAAGTCAATGTCTGCGTAGCACTGACAGCAGAAACATTATCATTTTGCTTGCGGGTAACACTGCCATAAGAAACGGACACTTTTAGTAAGATGCCAATGAAAAAAACGATGTAGAAGTACGGTTGCTACGTAAGAAGGAAGTTGGCACTTATTCCGTGGATTTGCATTTCTTCTCAGTCACTATTATTACACACGGCAACCTTCTCCAACGGGTTAACGGGCAGGTTCTCATTATGAGTTATCCGGGGCCTTTAGGTATTCTATAGGGCTGCGGTTGTTCTTCAGTCAAAAAAGCACTAATACAGAGGGATAGTAGTCTTAAGAATTTCGTATAGGTTCTTGTTATCCAAGTAGGTGATGTGTAACCGGTCATACGAATGATTATATTGAGGGATCGCTACGTTGTGTAATTTCACAAAACCGTACAGCGTTAAGAAACACTGCATGAGTCAACCGAGTACAGTAACTGATTGGTGAGCGATGTCTAATTCTTCTCAGCTTATTTAGTCTGCTGCTTGTATCTCTAACCATCACTTACGCATAACTTACCTCAAACACAAATACAAAATATTAGTTATCACAAATCACTACAACTTTTATTGTTTACCTTTCCCAAATACCCCGGATGGTACTTGTCGAAGTTAATGCGGTGATGATGCTTGCCACCAGCATTACCACGGCCACCAGGATGCTTTCTGTGCTTCCCTACACGACCTTTGCCATGACTGACATGACCTCGCAGATTTCTAGTCTTCTTCAGCCGAGTCGGCATTATGCTATATCTAAGCAAAGAAAGTAAAGTTGACTGAAATATTCGAATTAGATCATTAGTGAAGTGAAATATGCGATGTACGAATCAACGTCTCACATTGAAAGAAAACAAATAATGCAAAAAGTTTAATAACTGCAAATAACCGGCAATAAATGTCGAAAGAATTCACATGACAACGGGACACGGTACAAAAGTTCAGAATCATCAACATAATAGATGCTCTTTGCGACTGGACAGTAGGGTCTAACAACTGAGAATTAACAAACCTGCAATTAGTAACGACCTCCATTCATCATATCACATCGTCATCTTCTACTCTCTGCAAAAACAGCGACTGTTTAAACTGTGATAGAAATGCTCCAATCATCAGTTCATGTTTCAAACAGTCCCATACCTCGGAGCAATTGAGTTTGCACCAAACTGGCATTTTCGATGTCAGTCAAAGTCATCGATGCTGTAATCAAGGAAACGATCAATGTGTTCCAAGTGCTCCCACCATCGAAAGAGGAAGTGTTCCGCGATGAGAGTAAACCATGGTGAGAAACGGTACTCCTGTTGGTTTCCTGAATCACGTAATTGGAGTCAATTTCGTACAGTGCCGCAGCTACCATCTGCAACATTCTTCTCAACATACCTAACATCGAACGCAACTGCTCCTTGGAAACGTAGCGAATCCGTTCGATCTCGTCGGAATTCGGCTGCAACGCTAGTTCCTGCCGCAGAATCAGGATGTAGTCCAGTTCATGTTCACCATGAGTTTCGTCCCACTTGGCTCGGTACAGAATGCGCTTCATGAAGCAAAGCGAGTCTATGTTTATCTAAATGAAACGTAGACAATAAACCACGTCAGCAAAGAGAGAATTTAAAAAAACTGCAAACAAAGATAATGCGGAATATTCGAAATAAACTATTAAAACTGTTCTAATATCTGCATAACGAACCTGAATCGACTGTACTCGAAAAACTACATTAAAATGCTTGTAAAGATGAGAGCAAGAAACTGTAAAGCGCAACAAGAATCAAATATGTACGAAAGGAGCTATCGATTCGTTATCCGTTTGAATAAAGGTTAAAGAATTACGCTTTAGCCTTTTCCATGGTTCAAAAAAATTAATCAGCAGACATAAAATGCTTTGTTCACCGAAGCGTCTCGACACTATACGCCAGCTTCCTCATCACGGCAATAGTATGCAAATGAAACAGGACGATATGGTGAAAATTTATATTTTAATGATAGCTCTACCATTTGTCCCGTTAGCTTTTCCGAACTTGCTTGCCGATGACATTCTAGTTGCCACTCAAAGTAAATAAGCTCGTACATTCGTCACACAGTTGGCTTTTGCTAGCCAATATGTGCTTGACTTGACTTATTTGATGCGTAATGGGGTACGGGATCCCCACGCTTCGTGTCATCATTGGGTATTTTATTCTGCCCTTGTGCCAAGTTTGGTTCGCAGTTTGTCAGTATTGGGGAGTTGGTCTATGATGCTATCCAGCTGTAAAGTTCTTGGCCTCCTTCTCGGTCTTTTTCAAGATGGGTGCGGCACAATACGAATCAAGATGTTGATCAGCCGCTTGTCGTCCCGTCGCATTGCGTCGCCGAAAAGCAACCGTTTCAGTTTCTAATATCTGAGAGAGAGCGTTGACATTATTTCTGTCCGGCGCACTCCATTTGTACTCCTTCTAACGTCTTCCAGCTACTGTACATTCGTGATCTTATCAATCAAGTTATAGCAGAGTATTATGGGCCAACAGGAGCGTTCAAACACGGCCAGCGCATTCTCTTCCTTCTTGGTAAAGGTACAGGTAACTGTGGCATACATCAGTACTGGTCGAGTAGCTGTCAGACATATGTGGACTTTCACTGGAGTTTCGATAGCATTTTTCTACAGATACCGCACACTGTATGCAGAATATTATATGCTATTCGACGTTTCTGATCTTTCTTTAGCATCAGGTTCACAGCTTCCATCACTAGTGATCATCTCATCGATTCAGTATAGCAGAACTTAGTAACGTACTGGTAAATTTTCATGGTGTTGACAGTTTCTGGGGAATACCGTGAAACAAGAACTTTGCATTTCGATGGTTGCAGTCTCAGTCTATGCTTGTCGTTGGTTGTTTCTATCGCTATCAACGCCTTCTAAGTTCTTGCGAGTTCACAGCAACGTCGTCAGCATAATTTACATCTTGTATCCGGCGTCCTGATATTTTAAGCATCACTTCGCTATCAAAGTTTGTAACTGCCTCTGTCAACACGCA